TTTTTCAAAGTGTTTTAACAAAATGACTCTCTTTCTGCACTGAGAACAAAACCTGCTTAGCTGGCAAGCGCCATCCTGCCCCCCTGACCCAGGGCTGACCTCCCTGGGCCGCTTGCCCGGCAGCTTCCCTGCAGCCATGGGGTCGGCTGAGCCTGGGGCCCGTTTCCAGGGAATCCCAGAATCCCAGATTTGTTAAGGTTGGAAGGGACCTCCTGAGATCATCAGTCCAACCCCCCTTCCTAAGCAGGGTCATCCAGAGCAGGTGACACAGGAACAGGTCCAGGTGTGTTTGGAATGTCTCCAGAGAGGGAGGCTCCATAATCTCCCTGGACAGATGTTCCAGGGCTCTGCCCCTCCATGGAAAGTTCTTCCTCACACTGAGGTGGAACTTCTAGTGTTTTAATTTATGGTCTTTGCTCCTCATCCTGTCACAGGGTACCACTGAAGAGTCTGGGACCATGCTCTTGGCACTAATCTTGGAGGTATTAAATGCACTAATGAGATATCCTCTGTCTTCTCTACTAAACATACCCATGAGAAGCTGGGGACAGGGACAGGGACAGGGACAGGGACAGGGACAGGGACAGGGACAGGGACAGGGACAGGGACAGGGACAGGGACAGGAGTGGCCATGTCAATTCCTGTGTCCAGTTCTGGGCCCCTCAGTTCAGGAAGAATATTGAAGGGTTGGAGCATGTCTGGAGAAGGGAATGGAGCTGGGAAGGGGCTGGAGCACCAGGAGCTGCTGAGGAAACTCCAGGGGCTCAGCCTGGACAACAGAAGGTTCAGGGGACCTTCTCACTCTATAACCCCTGACAGGAGGGTGCAGCCAGGTGGGAGTCAGGCTCTGCTCCCAGGGAACAAGGGACAGGACAAGAGGGAACAACCTCAGGCTGCTCCAGTGGAGGTTGGGGTGGGATATTATGGAAATTTTCTTCATAGAAAGGGTAATTAGACATTAGATTGGACTGCCCAGAGATGTGGTAGAGACACAATTGATGTGCTTAATGAAAGACTGGATGTGGCAATTGGTGCCATGGTCCGGTTGACAAGGAGGGGATCAGTCACAGATTGGGCTGGATGGTCTCAGAGATCTTTTCCACTCTAATTGATTCTGTGTTTCTATGATTTAGTCTCTTCTTCCATGCCTACAGTGAGAGGACCAGTGAACATGGCCTCAAGATGATACCTGGGAGATTCAGATTAGATAAAAATCACTGTTAGGGTGGTCTGGCCTTGGCAGGGGCTGCCCAGGACGACGGTGGGGTCACCATCCCTAAAGGTGTTCGAGAAACATCCAGACCTGGCACTGATGTGGTTTTGTGGCTACAGGGGCAGCGCTGGGTGGATGGTTGGACTTGATCTTAAAGGTCTCTTCCAAACCTTAATGACTCCATAATGCCCATGAAGTCACTCTCCACCTTATTTTCCATTACAAAGCATGTTAAAATTATGATCATGTGCATCTATAAACCTTTAACTCCATTACACAGCAGCACCCTGTGCCTGAATGTTTTCACTGTTTCCTCGTGAGCGGCCTGGCACCTGCCAGGAGGTACAGCTTGGATCTCCTCCAGGAACGGTGCTGAAAAATCGCAATTTCAAGCTCAAGTTCAAAGCGAGTCGGGGGATTTCTTGAGGAAAAGACTGTTTTGTAAGACAATCGTCAGTGTGGTTAAAAGAAGCTCTGCCTGCCAGAGCTCAAGGAGCGTTCGGACAAGGCTCTGAGCACCCGCTGGGATGGCTGAGGTGCGCTGTGTAGAGCTGCGCTCACTCCTGAG